TGATGATGTGGCATCACATCATCATGCGGATACAGCAAGGGGACAAAGGAAGGGATGTACTCCAAAGGCATGCATGTTCCAAAGCGGGCCAATAAACAGCTAAACATGGGGAGGGTTGTGGGGGGCACATCCCTGGGGCTTCCCGTCCCCTTCCTATGCATCACTCAGGTTTGACCAGGACGGAGAATCTCTACTGATGTAAAAAGGGTCACGAACGTGGTGGTGTTGGGGGGGAGGGGAGGATTCCTCTGTGGAACACTTGGAAATGCCAGACTTTAATGCATTTCAGAAGATTCCCAGCAGGGAGGTTTGATGTGAGATGTCTCATGTGATCTCTCTCTGCCTTCCATCTAGAAGGGAGAGAGCTCTGGGAACCCTGCCCTCCTTTTCTGCTCCCCTGGAGGGCATAGGAAGCTGATAGTGCAAATTGAGAGCTCTCTGTTTGGACATCATCTCATCTCCCATCTGGTGCTGCTGCCACTCGTCTGACTGGCTGGGAGCCCCAGAAACCTCCCAGCCAGGCACCCACCCCTGCTGCTGCTCCCACTGCAGATTCTGCTGTCCACTGAGCTATCAGCTCCTCAGCAGAGGAGGAGGAGCTCTCACTTCGCTTTTTTTTGGGGGGGGGGAGAAGAGGAGTGGGAAGGAGGCTGGGCTACCCTGTGCTCCTCTCTCTAATCGAAGGGGCTGATGTGAGATCACCAGCTTGATAGAAACAAGATTCCCAATAGAAGCTGGGAGACTGAAAAACTGCCCTCGGGCTCATGACTCCAGCTCCAAGCCAGTGTCATGGGATACTTACGCCGCAGAGCATCTACGGGCCAGATCCTCAGCCGCAGCATCGCTCCACTGTAGCTCGATATGTAGTAGGACTTTGAAGCCAGTGGCGCCCTGCTGATTTACTACAGCTGCACATCTGGCCTGACAGGTACATCTCAGGGTAAAATCTGCTCCAACACAAGGTCCAGATAGGAAGCTGCTCCAGGATGTTACATACACTGTCTCCTGATGCAAATGCCTCCGATGCGTTCTGTGTACGAAATAAATGGTTTAGCAGATATTTGACTGCCGTGACTCGGTCTCTCACTCTGTTCTGGGGTTCCACAGTGCAGCAGAGCAGATATTTAACTTCACTAGGCAGAATTAGCGGCTAGAAAATACACACATCTCTACAGCAGAGCCTGGTTCTCTGAGCCCTTTTCCAAGTAACCCTTCTTTGTTAAGGGTACTTCATTTCTGCCATCAATGGGTTTCATTAGCACTTTTATCTTCGTTCCAACGGAAATCATGGCCCATCAATACTAGACGGGCATATTTACGTAAACACCCACCCCCATGCCTTTCCCCTCTTCCGCTCCGAGTAGCCAACGTCCTTTCTGTAGAGAAAGGTATATCTCATAGAGATGGCTGGAATTTGTCAAGTTTTTTAATTTTTTTTATTTTGTGCCCTCCCTCACCCAAAAGGAAAATATTTTGATGAAATTGTCACCATATCCCTCTCATTTTTCCACCAGCTCCGATTCTACCTTTCACTTATGACTATTGTTGTATGAAAGAACTTGTAATTACGTTGAAAATGTAGCAGACACCTTAAAATAAGAAATAGGACATAGCTAGAATGAGTCGGACATGTTAGGCTTTTCCCTATGAGTCTGGGTGTAGTGGTGCTCATGAATGGTCATTTATTTTTTAAATTTCAGGTATTTGTTTCAAATCCTGTTTTGCTCACGGGTAAAATGGTTCGCAGGTCTCATTGTAATCTTCAGTGGAGGTTTCATCAACTGGATGGAAGCAACAATTTGTCTTAAGTGACCGTCTGCTAAAACAAAGGCTCAGAAGTCAGTAGTGAGGAAATGTGAAATATGCTGACTCCTCTGAAATCAATCCACCTTCCCGTGTAGTGTGTATAATTCTTACAGATTCACACCACTCTCCATCTCCTGGCCGGAGGGAGAGTTAGCTAACAAACACGAGTTGCCTGGTGTTGAGAGCTGGCCCTTTCCCAGGAAAGCCAGCAGGGTGTTTATAGAAATTAAAGCCCAGTTTATTTTTGAGTGACACTAGTTCCTTTGAAAAAAAAAACAGGAGGACTTGTGGCACCTTAGAGACTAACAAATTTACTTGAGCATAAGCTTTTGTGGGCTACAGCTCACTTCATCGGATGCATGGAATGGAACATATAATAAGAAGATATATATATATATATATATATATATATACATACTGAGAACATGAAAAGGTGGAGTAAGAGGCTAATTAATTAAGATGAGCTATTAGCAGGAGAAAAAAACTTTTGTAGTGATAATCAAGATGGCCCATTTAGACAGTTGACAAGAAGGTGTGAGGAACATGGGGAAATAGATTCAATATGTGTCATGACCCAGCCACTCCCACTCCCTATTCAAACCCAGGTTAATGGTATCTAGTCTGCATATTAATTCAAGCTCAGCAGTTTCTCGTTGGAGTCTGGTTTTGAACCTTTTCTGTTGCAAAATTGCCACCTTTAAATCTGTTACTCAGTGGCCAGAGAAGTTGAAGTGTTGAATCTATTTCCCCATGTTAAGTATCCTCACACCTTGTTGTCAACTGTCTAAATGGGCCATCTTGATTATCACTAGAAAAGTTTTTTTCTCCTGCTGATAATAGCTCATCTTAATTAATTAGCCTCTTACCCCACCTTTTCATGTTCTCTGTATGTATATATATCTTCTTACTATATGTTCCATTCTATGCATCAGATGAAGTGGGCTGTAGCCCACGAAAGCTTATGCTCTAATAAATTTCTTAGTCTCTAAGGTGCCACAAGTACTCCTGTTCTTTTTGTGGATACAGACTAACACGGCTGCTACTCTGAAAGTAGTTCTTTTGCTAAATCAAAAGCCCCCATACCTGTGAGGGACTGAGACACATGCCGTTTTGCAGCTGTGAAACGTATGCAGTATCTCTCACCTTCTTAGCCCTTCAGTAGAGACCGTAAGTCACCACATTAGAAACGTGGCAGGCGGTACTAACCACACTGCCTAGCAGGAAGGTCATTTCTGATTGGTGGGCTGATTTAAAGCCTAACCGTGCAGAGGGCCTCCAAAACCCTACATTTGTTCGCATGGAATAATTTATTATCGTTATCGTGTATTAACTGTGATAATACACTGGTCTTAGGAATTCTTGCATTTTCGGCACCAAAAAAGGCATCAAAACACATGTCAAACCACAGGAAATCTTTTTTGTTTCAGATAAAATCCTTATTAGTCTGCTGTTTATTTTCTGGGGATGTTCCAAGACCCACCAAGCATTGCTAGATCACAGACAGCTGTGTGTTTCCAGGGTCTACAAAACACTTACAAATTACAGTAGTCAGACTTTGAACTTGTGTGGGAGGTCAGGAAAACAGACACAGCAACAAGGACAGAATATTTTGATCTCTGATAACAATTTGCTGCCTGAACTGATTAATTAGGATGCCTGATGAGGGATCTGTTCCTTTAAAAGTACAGGAGCAGTGACACTGAGTTCCCACCTAGCAGACTGGCTAACGTGGGCAGCATTGCTCCATGGTCCCAAAGAGAGATGATCTGACATCACCAGTACAGTGTGTGATATGTAATGATACAGAGCAGCAGTAAGGATGCCCCACTTAAGGATTTGCCCTCTGAATATCAAGGCCTTTAAGTTCAGCATCAAGAATTGAGGCGCCAAGAATCTCTCAGCTCTTTTGAAGACACAGGCTTCAGATACTCGCCCAGGGTGACACTTGATATCTATGGAAGAACCAGGAATCAAACCCAGAACACCAGTGCACCTACTCTGAGTTCACAAGACCATCCACTCTGAATTCTTACCGGGGCATCTAACTGCGAGGTCTTTAGTTTTCACTGCTACATTTCTGACGTTAACCAGGGAACTACATTCATGTATCTCTGTGATACCTAGAAGTCCTGCTTTGACTATTTCAACATGTGAAAAAAGTTAACTTGGGGACTTGAACTGTGAAATGCAGAGTTTCAGCCTTACTCTTGTATGGGAAGTTTAGAATTAAGGCTAAAGTAAATAAAAATGTTTCTGATAGTCTTGTATTTCTATCTCTTGCCTTTAGCATAGCAGGAGCCCGATAAACTGAGACCATTAGGGATGTCAGAGCTCCGAGGATAAGAAAGAAAGAGACAGATAGGCCCTAATCAGCATGTGCTTAACTTCTAAGCATGTCCTTAAACCCAAGATCTAGAGTAAAAGAAATGGTTTGCTGAGGTCCAAATAAGTTTGATTTACAAAGCAATGACTTGAATTAAGTGGCATGTACGCACATGGTTTTTGCACTGTAATTGTACTAAGAGTAACACCCAGTTTTGAGATCTGCTGATGAGAAAGAAGCATTCAGCAACATTATCTCTGTTTTACAGATAGGGAAATTGAGGCACAGAGCAGTCACATGACCTGCCCACAGTCACATGTCCAAGCCAAGAATAGAAGCCAGCCCTTCAGCGTCCTAGTCTAGCGTGCAAACCACTGAACTACACTGGCTCTCCATGAGTGGGGCTACACCAAAATATTCCCCATAATGAATTTGCAAGACCTCTGCAGACTATCCTTATGTCAGTAGAAGGGCTTATTCCTAGAATGTTTGCTAGGCAAATGCCATTCAAATTGCTGTCACTTCCCACTTCGCGACTGATCAGTTTCTAATGCTATAAGTTTATTTTGACAAATCTGAGCTTCAGAGAAACTTGGGAATAAGGAAGGACCAGCAAAGTTCAAGCTGGTTTGCCTGCCTCAGTGCCGAGCCGTGTGCGCCTTCTCTCTCTGTCGCTCACTTTATCAGAGCTTTATGGCAGCTTATAAAGAAATTGTCTCTTCTCTCCCTGCCAAGCTAAAAATCCCACTTTGGTATTCACAGTACAGTTATGACAAATGCCTGGCCTGTGTTCTGGGTGTTCAGGGAAATGTAAAAACATGTCTAGTTGTTGTGAATGCTCACATGGTGATTTGTTGGTTTGATTCTTCAGGTCGTGAATTGGCAAGCACAACCCTCCCAGGATACCCTCCTCACGTCCCCCCTGCTGGACAGGGCAGCTACTCTGCTCCAACACTGACAGGAATGGTGCCTGGTGAGTTTAACAACCCCCCCTTTCGCCCCCCGCAGCATTACAGAAGCAAAGCCAAGTGCTTTCTGGTTGTTCTGCACTGATGCCAGCAGAAGACAGAATTACAGTGATGAAAAGAGAAGAGCAGATGCAAAGCGAGTCTAAATAAATAAACCAGCCCCTCTCTGGCACAAGGGAGAGCCTAACTTCTCCACTGCCAAAGCAAATTCTTCCATCCAGTATGCAGGGAAAAGCCTTTACCCCACTGCATGGCTGTTTGATAAGTGTTGATCCAATCACGTAGGGACAGCCTCAAACTTCCCCCCATTCGTCATTAGCATAATTGTAATTGACACTTTAATGTTGAGCACGTCACACGTATTTGTGGCAGCTGTGCTGTGCAAGCGTTTGTCGGACTGGAAGTGATTAGATGGTTACTTTACTAAGCCCAAAATCTTAACAACTCATGTGCCACTGAATTTTCCACAGGCTTTTCCCTTTTTTTTGGTAAACCCTTTTTGCATGTTTCTGAGATAACCCCAGTCTTGTGATGGGAGCTGCTGATCATCTGCTGGAAGGCACTCCAGCACAGATCTTCAGAGGTACCTATGTGCCTAGCTCCCATTGAAATCAGTGAGAGTTAGACACCTAAATGCCCTTGAGGAACTGGACCTGAGTGCCCTCAACCGCTTTGGAAGTCAGCGGGAGCTGAAAGTGCCCAGATCTTATAAGAGGCACCTTGTAGGATGAGTCCCCTATGAATACAATTGAATTATTCGTTATTAGCAACTTTTGATCCACAATTATTTATCAATGATCCTAGACACTATGGTGATACCGTGGGTGCTTTAGACATACAGATAGTGATAAGGCTACAGACAGATGTGTGTTATGTTGTATAAACTCCTGGGTTTGACATTTAAGTATGATGAAAGTCGTTGACTTCAAAAGAGCTGTGTGGATTTACAGCAGCTGAGGATCTGGCCCTCACAACCTTTGATCTCAATGTTAAGGCCACCGCTGCTTACTAGGAAAAGAGTTATATAGTATTACAAACCCCAAGCATTCAAAATCATGGGACTTGAAAAAATAATAATGTTGGGTGGTTTTTTTTACTTGCTTTCTGGTTTCTGGGCCTTTAGGGTGCACTCAGATCATATTTCCAAGCTTTCCATGGCCAGGAGGGTTAGAAACTTACTCTGTTTTAAAAAAGTGAAAGCTGAGATTATTACATAATCACATGACTCCAGCAGCTAGGGATTAAGAACAAAATATCATAAAACTTGCGATAAACAGCGTAAGAGTTGGTAACACTGGCTTTATGTTCAGAGTATGTGACAGTTTGCATATATGATCAATCTTGATTGCACTTTTCTCCTGGTAATATCTTTAAGAAATTAAGAAAAACGCATTCATTCTTCATGTGAATTAGTTTTAAGAATTAGAAGTAGGAATCAGGTCATTGTAATAACATTTAGAAAAAGTGTTGCAATGCTATTGAAAGTAATGTATGGGGGGGGATTTTATAAAGATTGACATAGATACAGAAACATTACTTTCAGCTCAAAAAGTAAATGTGCTGTAATAATCGCTTATTTTATATAGCTGTAAGGATTTACATCATATAAAAAAACTTGCCTAGAACTTCAGGCCAGATTCTCAACTGGTGTAAATTGATCTTCTGATTTCAGTGGAGCTTCAGCAATTAGCACCAGCTGAGAATCTGGCCTGAAAATGCAACAAAATCTTGCTGTGATTGCAAGTCACTTCCTACAGTTTAAATATTAAGAACCTAAAAAAGTCCCATCAGTGTTAAGATACTTTCTTAACAAGATTTCCCTAAATGTGTTTTGCAGTTATACAAGCATCTCTGAACAGCAGCTAGGAACAGAGATGGGTGAACTAGTCAGGATAAAACAACCTGCCCCTGATCATAGAATCATAGAATCATAGAATATCAGGGTTGGAAGGGACCCCAGAAGGTCATCTAGTCCAACCCCCTGCTTGAAGCAGGACCAATTCCCAGTTAAATCATCCCAGCCAGGGCTTTGTCAAGCCTGACCTTAAAAACCTCTAAGGAAGGAGATTCTACCACCTCCCTAGGTAACGCATTCCAGTGTTTCACCACCCTCTTAGTGAAAAAGTTTTTCCTAATATCCAATCTAAACCTCCCCCACTGCAACTTGAGACCATTACTCCTCGTTCTGTCATCTGCTACCATTGAGAACAGTCTAGAGCCATCCTCTTTGGAACCCCCTTTCAGGTAGTTGAAAGCAGCTATCAAATCCCCCCTCATTCTTCTCTTCTGCAGACTAAACAATCCCAGCTCCCTCAGCCTCTTCTCATAAGTCATGTGTTCTAGACCCCTAATCATTTTTGTTGCCCTTCGCTGGACTCTCTCCAATTTATCCACATCCTTCTTGTAGTGTGGGGCCCAAAACTGGACACAGTACTCCAGATGAGGCCTCACCAATGTCGAATAGAGGGGAATGATCACGTCCCTCGATCTGCTCGCTATGCCCCTACTTATACATGCTATGCCCCTACTTATACATTCATCATGCCACTACATGATCATTCAATTAAAATCTGAACACAAAGCAATGCTTTATTTTGGAAGTTGGCAAAGTTTAGTTAACTTCATTTACTCTGACTTCATAGTTCTCTCTAAGTCTGGAAGCAGAAGTAATGCAAAACTGTGAGAGAGGTTGTTCTTGCACTATTCCCCCTATGTTCAGAAGCATGGCATCCTGGTATCTAGTGAAGGAAACTGATCTCAAGTTAGCAAGAGCTGTCTTTCACTTGAACCAGTCTGAAAATGGGAAGGTTTGCGTGAAGCTTCTTGGTAGCAGCAAGTGTTAAATTATGCCCATAACACATCTGTGCTTTTAAGGTTAAGCTTGCTATTGTGCAGCTGTTATGAAACCCAAATACTCTGCACATTATCTAAGATGATGTTAGTTCCCTGAAGTGAAAGGAAAAGATCGTCCTACTTTGCATCCTGGAACAATTTGCATCCTTCCAAATGAGGGGCCTACCCTTTCACATGACTCAGGATTTTGGGTGACCTGCTGAAGATGCCTTGAAGAGACAAGATGCCTTGAAGAGACCTGATTTTCAGAAGGTGCTGAGCACCTGCTCTTTGAAAATCATCCCCTTAAAGGTGCACCAACTTGAACAGTAGAAAATTGAGTCACTTTTGAAAATGTAGGTGATGATGTTTCAGGGTGGTTCTGATACAACCTCTGTTAAGATTTTATCTGAACTAGTCCTTATTATTGTTAATTATTATTATTATTTGTATAAGCATAGTGCCCAGGGACCCAAGTCATAGTCCAGGACTCCATTGTGCTAGGTGCTGTACAAAAAGACACTCAGTTGTGTTTATCAAGTGTGCCTAAGCACGTAGGCTCCTAACTCCCATTGGAGTGTGTCTGAAAATTCCTTTAGGTGTCTATCTGCACCTTCAGGTACCAAAATCCTTTGAAGACCTTGCTATGTTTACAATGTGCTTCAGTGTGGACAACCAGGGGAGGGTCAAGTGCAGAGCACAGCAAAGTGTTGCACTGTAACTGCCCCCTGTAGGCACTACTGGCATGAACTACAAGGTACTTAGTTTGCGTTAACATCGTCCTGTTTGAAAAAAGACTATGTTAAAGTGAATGAAGTACCTTTTAGCTTGTGCCAGGAGCATCCCCACAGGGCAGTTAGAACTTAACACTTTGTGCTCGGCAATTCGCACACCCCCGAAGGCCACACTGCGGCACAGCGTAGACAAGCCCTTAGTCTCTGTCTCAGTTTCCCATCTGTAAAATGAGGTTAATAGCCCTTCCCTACCTCGCAGGGGTGCAGGGAGCATAAATACCTTACAGATTGTGGGGTGCTCAGATACTTCTACTAAGTAATGGTACCTGGGATGGGCAGGTATGGTAATACCTAAGACAAATCACACATTATTTGGCAGAGTTTAGAAAGATGCAACGCAATGATCTAGACTCATTTGAGCTAATTTCTCTGTATAATAGATTTATTTGTAACTACACGTAGGCTGGTGTGACCCATTAGATTGAGTAACTGCAATGTTCCTTTCACTGGTTCTTTTACTAACAACCTTCTGCTCCAGCTAGGTTGAAGGTCACCTGCAATTCTTCTAGGTTCTCATTCTCATTTAAGTGAGGGTTTGCTAACTAGAATCCAAAATACTTTCTCTGTCCTCACTTGTCTCTTGTCATTTGAAGGGCTGGTTTCAGAGGCTTCTTCTGAATGCACACAGTCTTTTATAATTTGGTTCTGAAGGAGCTGACGGATCAGGTTTAATGCTGTATGCACATCTGTGTTTGTGCTCCGATATGGCTGAATTATGCGGCCCTGAAATGTATACAAGGGGAATGTATGTTTCACCAATTCTCTGGGATTCCCTCCTAGACCTGCTGCTTCCCTGGAATAATTTTCAGAGCATAGGCTCAAAGTGTGGTTATTTGATAAGAGCTTTAATTGTGAGCCATGGATCATTGCTATAATTAACTGATTGTGTCAGTAAAGTGTTTAGACACAGGGTAGAAATATAGACAAGATAAGACTATATGATGTTTTGTTGCATGCTTGTTGCCATCGACATCATTTATGTGACTGTGAATAACCCGGTCCCCAGCTACAGTATTTGTGTTTGTACAGTATTTGCCAAGGATTCATAGAGCATGTGTCTGAGGGGCTGGGGAATGAGTGTTAACTCTTACAACTCAGGGATGAGAATACCTGTCCTGACACATGGTAGATCAGAGCTGAGTTTACCTAGCTCCTCACTCTCTTCTCTCCTTTCCCCCATCCCCACACCAGCTCCCACTCCCTCCCTCCCAGATCTTGAACGAGAGCCCTTCGCGCCAAAGCTCATCTCAGCAGGCAATGAACCTCGTGTTCCCCACTGACCTGGCCTTTTTTGCCAGCCACCTCTTCAGCACCATCCTCCCGGCTCCATGCCAGCTCCTGCCCTCCCCCTGCTACTGCTGTTCCTGTGTCACACACCC